ATTTACAATCAAAAATCTGTTGTTAATTGTAGCATGTATGATGTATTGAATGAAATTTCATAAGTTTATACACTAAACTTGCATCCAGTAAATATTCTTTAGCTAAAAAGCTTTCACTGCCAAAATTTATGTAAGACATACATCATGGTAATATTCCAGGAATAATTGCTTTAGTTGTAACTATAATTCCTGGAATCAGTAGTATTGTTAAGTTGTAATTATCATTGTACTCTTGTCATGTGATGATATTCATGATGGCTTATTCTTGGAATTTGCAACTGCTTACCAAGGAAACTAGTCGTAAAGAATTCTCAGAAAACAGACAACATAAAGGTCTAAAACTGAGAAAGTTTTTGTCAGTTGTTAAAGTTGTATCAAGTATCAATATCACAATGGCATCAGCAGGATTCTTTGCAATTGGTTTTCGAAGCATTCAAGTTATTCAAGTTAGACTTCGAAAACCAGATTATAAGCCTCCTTTTAGCAGAGCAAGTAAGATTTCTCGCACAGATGCTGGCTATCGTGTTGCTGATGGTAGTATTGCTGCTATTGATTTTGGTACTACATCAGTTTCAGTTGCCTTCTTGACAAAAGGAGATAAAAAAGTTACCACACTCATACTTGACCAGGAAGAGCAGTCTGCTCGAGTTCCTAATGCTGTTCTTTTGAAGAAAGAAGATGATGGCAAAATTAAGGTAGAGGCTTTTGGAAGTCTAGCTCAAAAAAAATTTACTTCAATGAGATCAAAAGAGCAGCATGCTCATGTCTATTTTGAAAGAATCAAGATGTTAATGAGAAGAGAAAAGGTAAGCAAAAATATTTAATACTTAATGATTGATTGAAAGTATAGGTAGTTGATAGAGATACAGTAGTTGAGTCATTTTCTGGTGATAAGTACTACCTGGTTGAAGTCATTGCATTCATACTTCAGCATGTGAAGGATCTATTGATTTATCATTTCTCATGTACTGTCAAGCCATTGAAGACAACAGATTTTGATTGGGTCATTACTGTACCTGCTATATGGGATGCACGAGGAAAAAGAATGATGAGAGAAGCTGCTTATATGGTAAATGATATTGTCATTTTTTTGAATATCTATAATAACATCAATGAATAATTGAATATAGGCTGGTTTGCTGTCAGGATATGGTGGCATAACCAAGTTCACTCCGGTTTCTTATCGCTCTTTGCCTCTTCCAGATGAAGTCAATCCTGACAGGCTGTCATTAGCACTAGAGCCTGAATCAGCTGCTTTTTACAGTCAGGAAACAGTGGGAGACCAGATTAAAAGTGATCCAGATACAGCAATTATCCAGCATCCTACAGATTACATGGTGATAGATGCTGGAGGTGGTACAATAGATATCACAGCTCACATTGAAGTTGATGATAGTATTGTAGTTGAGAATATACCAACTGGCAATGCATGGGGTGGTACCCAGGTCAATGAAGCTTTTTCTAAAATTCTTGAAGGTATAGTTAATGATCCTGGATTTGAAAAGTTTTTAGCTTCTGGAGACCAATCTCAAAATATGGCAGATATTATTAAAATCTTTTACACCGAATTTGAAGGTGAGAAATCACTTTTTGGAAAGGAACAAACAGAAGAAATTCGTATTTCATTACCAAGTCGTTTTGTTAGGTTTTACGATAAGGCTCTTGAGGCTGGTGTCAAAAGGAAAAGCGGTATCGATTATGAAGATGATGTGCTGTTTATTTCTAAGGAAGTAGTGGAGTCTGAGTTGTTTGGTCCAGCACTTAATGGTATAATAGAGTGCACTTTGGAAGCTATCAAAGCAAATGATAATGATCTTAGCACCTTTTATTTGGTTGGTGGGTTTGGAGGGTGTAAGTATGTTCATAAAAAGGTCAAAGCTGCTGTAGAAAAAATCTTTCATGGCCAGGGTCGTTCTTGTAATGTGATAGTACCCCCTACTCCTCAATTAGCTGTTGCTCAAGGTGCAGTGATGTGGCGTAAGAATCCAGAGAAGATTAAAGCAAGACGCTCTGATGCTACTTATGGGATAGGAGTATCTTTACCATTTAAAGATGATGAGCATGATGAGCATTACAAGTTTTATAATGAAGAGCAAGAAGAATACAGATGCACTGATATTTTCAGTGTGTTTTTAGAGAAAGGAGAGCTAGTGCAAACAGATCAAGTTATCACAATAAGTTTGACACCACTTCATCAATCAGATGAACAAATTACCATTGGCATCTATTCTACTCCTAATCTTGGAGTTCGATACACAAAAAATACAGATGGTAAAAGCACAGTCATAAAAATCGGTCAATTAGTCATCGATATTCCTAATCCTGATGATGTACCAAGGAATGAGCGTCACGTCGACATCACTATGGATTTCAGTGGTACCGAGATACAAGCTAAAGCAAAGTATCGTATTACTGGAGAAGAAGTTAAAACTGTTTGTGACTTCCTTTCTGCCCAAAAAATTTAGACTATTAGTTTATTTTATACTTAATTGCTTTTTAGAAGTTTTTTGTATAGACTATTATTTCACATGAATTTGTAATAGATAACTTGCAAATAAATTAACTGAAGTTTATGATAAGACATTAAAGCATTGACTATGAAGATGACACTTTATACATAAAATAAGGCAGCAACAGAGTCTCAACTGTTTGTTCCAACACTTGAATTATTAAAACATGCAATGAATCTATTTAAAATATATCAATCAACACATTTTAATTTACTTAGCGAGTTTGGTGGCTGCAGGAGAAAGTTACTACAAACTACAAAAGATGTGTTTAATACTCACTCAACACCATATCTTATGATACAGTTTACAGCCTATATGCATGGAAGGAAGCTGAAAGTTAGAAACTTGGTCTACAAAATAGACTAACTTGTCATCAATGTATGTAATCCTCTTAATCTACCATTGCACAAACATATAGTTAACATCACTATGGATTTTAGTTGTACAGAGGTACAGGCCAAAGCAAAGTATTGTATTACCAAAAAAGAAGTTGAACCTGTTTGTGACTTTCTTTCTACTTGAACATAATTATAGTTACATTTTGTATAATAAAAAATATAACATTGTGATAAAAAGAAGCATTAATTCATAGCAAATATTAATTGAATTCATAACAAGTTAACAACTACAAAAATCATTTCCAAGAATTCTACACCTTTTAAGCCTTAAAAGTAATACCTTGTGTTATTGTACTATTCACAACTGTCAAAATAAAATCAAAATTGCATGGCATGTGACATATATGTCACTTTATGTGACATAGATCTCTATATGTTTTTACATGTGACATACATATCAGCATTGTCTAAAAATAAGAAATTTTAAAATTCGTAAAAAAATCCAATTTTGATTGGAATCAGCTCAAACTTTTTAAATAGCATAAGGACATGTATATGTATCAGGAAAAGTTATTAAAATGAAGAAATCTCTCCTTTCAATTTTTGATAAAATTTGGCCAACGTCCATGTACTTTGTGCTTACATGTACATCGTCTTTGGCCAGATGTTGTACTATTATCACTATGACACTATTAATCTTCTGCTACCCCTATACTAGAGTAGTTGTCAAATATTACCATTTGTTTTTGTTTTCACAATGAAGAGAAATGCATACCAATACATACAAGACTCTTCGCTGCCTCATCAACTGCTGGTTGCATTGAATCAAAGGCACAAATCTATGACATTATTCTGGGCACAGTAAACCCTCAATGATGAATTACAGTTTATCTCATTATCAGCAACAATCCCATGGAGCTGGAACTGAAGTCTCTTCAAAATTGTCTGGTGGGAGTGGAGCAACTCCTTGTCTCTCTTTTAATCCTTATACTAATGCTAAGAAATCATCAATGAAGTTTGCATATGCTAAAGTACATTTTGATAAGTAATGTATATTGTTGTGTAATTGTAATGCTGCCCTGTCTGAGTTCACATATTTAACATTTGTTCACAATGTATAGTGTTGTATTGTTAGATGTTTAATCTTAATTGTAAGCATTGAATTGAATATTTATAATCATTTCAAGAAAATGATTTATATGGCATTCTAGCTGTTCCAGGAATATTTTAGGAAATCAATTCTAGGAACTGAGAGAGCAGCAGAGAAGCATAACCCATACCACAGCTTTACAATCTGAAACAGAGAGTACAGATGTCAATCAGCTTTTAATGTATTTCTCGAGAAAGGTGAAATAGCAAGTACTGACCAGGTCATAACTACCTGCATGACTCCAGCCAGTCAATCATTCACTCAAATTAGTATCACCATTCACTCAACACCATATCTTGGGATACAGTACACAGCTGATATGCATGGTAGGAGCACGGTCTACAAGATAGGTCAACTTGTCATCAATATACCAAACCCTCACAACCTACCAGATTCAAGCTAAAGACTGGAGAAGAAATAAAAACTGTTTATGATTTTCTTTCTTCTAAAATAATAAGATTATATATTTCTAAAGAATTTTTATGCATAGTAATTTGACAATTTTACAAATAAACCAAGCTTTTCAAATGAAGTAAAGGTATATATACCGGTAAACCATGGTTTTACACTGGGTAAAGACTTCATGATTTCAGGCTCAGTAAATCAGATAATCTATTCTGTGTCATACCCACTTTCAATTATTCACACATCTATGCAATTCTACAGTTCCAAGAATAGTTGATTTATTTGCCAATATAGTTCCAGGAAAATTGTAATTATCATAGTAGACTTATATGATGATATTCATTAGCTTCATTTCTTAGAAATGCTTACAATAGGAGGTTATAAGGAATTCTTAGAAATAGGCATCACAAAATTGTGGAGACTTTGGTCTACTCCCTAATCCCTATAAAGACTAGAAAATTCAGTAGGGAGATTTTGACAAGTTACATAAATCTATCACTTGTAACATCATCGCAATGGCAGCATCAGCAGGGTACTTTGCAATTGGTTTTCGAAGCATTCAAGTTATTCAAGTTAGACTTCGAAAAGCAGATTATAAGCCTCCATTAGACAGAGCAAGTAAGATTCCTCGTCAAAATGCTGGCTATCGTGTTACTGATGGCAATATTGCTGCTGTTGACTTTGGTACTACATCAGTTTCAATTGCCTTCATTACAAAAGGAGATGAAAAAGTTACCACATTCACACTTGACCGTGAAGACCAGTCTACTCGAGTTCCTAATGCAGTTCTTTTGAAAAAAGAAGATAATGGCAAAATGAAGGTAGAGGCTTTTGGAAGCATAGCTCGAAAAAAATTTACTTCAATGAGATCAAGTGAACATCACACCCATGTCTACTTTGAGAGAATCAAAATGTTAATGAGAAGAGAAAAGGTAAGCTAAAATATCCAATTCAAGATTGATTGATTGAAAGTAGGCAGTTGATAGAGATACAGCAGTTGAGTCATTTTCTGGTGAGAAGTACTATCTGGTTGAAGTCATTGCATTTATACTGAAGTACCTGAGGGATCTACTGATAGATCATTTCTCATGTACTGTCAAACCATTGAAGACAACAGATTTTGATTGGGTCATTACTGTACCTGCTATATGGGATGCACGAGGAAAAAGAATGATGAGAGAAGCTGCTTATATGGTAAGTGATTCAACTAGAACTTCATATAATACTATAATTGAATATAGGCTGGTTTGCTGTCAGGATATGGTGGCATCACCAAGTTCACTCCGGTTTCTTATCGCTCTTTGCCTCTTCCAGATGAAGTCAATCCTGACAGGCTGTCATTAGCACTAGAGCCTGAATCAGCTGCCCTTTATAGCCAGGAAACAGTGGGAGACCAGATTAAAAGTGATCCAGATACAGCAATTATCCAGCATCCATCAGATTACATGGTAATAGATGCTGGTGGTGGTACTATAGATATCACAGCTCATATTGAAGTTGATGGTAGTATTGTAGTTGAGAATATACCAACTGGTAATGCATGGGGAGGCACACAGATCAATGAAGCTTTCGCTAAAATTCTTGAAGGTATAGTTAATGATCCTGGATTTGAAAAGTTCTTAGCTTCTGGAGACCGATCTCAAAATATGGCTGATATCATTAAAATCTTTTACACCGAATTTGAAAGTGAGAAATTGATCTTTGGAAAAGAGCAAACAGAAGAAATTCGTATTTCATTACCAAGTCG